ATGCCAGCAAAAGATGGAGTCGCTAGGACACCAGCTAGTTGGGGCAGACAGCATCCAATAACTGATCTCACTGACGAACGTCAGTCACCTTCATTACAATGCAACTAAGACACAATTTCCACCGCAATATGAAAAAAAGGCCACAGCCAAACATAAAACGAAAACGCCGTAAAACTTACATCATGTTACATATAATATATAATGGCATACTGTCGTGATCCGCTAGATATTGTTTTGCTACAACATTATATTTGAGACACATGATTTTCCAATGTGGTAAGTACAGTGGTCATCATTAGTTTAGCTCTAAAATCATGGTGTGCAGGGAGCAATAGTCTGCGAAGGAGAGCTCGTAACAATCTTAACGTTTTCGAAGGCATTTCACAAAGCACCCATCTGCCTAAGCTTTTAAGGCACCTTTGAGGAGCAAATGGGATTACTTTAACACAAAAGAGTTGGGAACAACTAGGTCAAGGTTTGTTTTACGCACTTTCAGTTAGAGTGATAAATGTATTTTGCCAGCTAACGAGAAGCTAGCGCCAGTACCTGATATATTTTGCTCCAATCAAATTTTCCGTTGCCTATAGGAAGTATTTCAATTACGACGCTCTGTTCCATCAAATCTTTAATCTTCTGAAGGAGTCGTTTCTAAAATAAATCAGGGATCATCAGTTATACCTGAAGTATGCTTTACCTTCTGATCCAAGTCACTTCTATGAGGATTGTCATTGTCTGTCAAAAGTAGTACCGTTTTAGAAGGTTCGGAGAGTTTACTAAAAAAGCCATGAATGTAGTATAAAAACAAAATGATACATACAGCTGATTAGGAATAACTTATTGCAACAGAAATGGCAGTGACTCTCCATGTCCATAAAAATGTAACAAAGCAAAATATACTTTGCTTTTATAAGGTTCATCGATTCTTAGTTGACCAAAGTTCAGTGACATCTTTCATTTGAAATGCGAAACAGGGGTACCACCAAACCCGTTATACATGGATATAAAAGTGATCACGTTCAACTAGTTTTCCATGCTACCCTCGAAGCAGCAAGAATGCCGTTGAAGCAGGGATGGCGGAAAGTCCAAAAACACTTTCAGTTTAAAAAGAGCAATCTGTCTTCGCTTGGCGCTACAATAACGCATAGTTGACGATAAAGTATAGGAACTAAGAAAATTCATATTACTTTTCTTACGTGAATTCCGAATATACGTACTAAAACTATAAAACAGGTTGTAGGCTCACCAACTCGAAAACAGCGTCCCCGCCACCCAAAACAATTCGTCCATGTTGCATGCCCCGTGGCCGTATAGTTTACTGAAGTCGTTCTCGGAAGAGCCTAAATGAAAAACGGGAAAAATTCAGACCATACATACGTTTAGCGAATTAATCATTCATAAAGAAAAAAACCTGATAATAAACGTGGAGGAGTGTTATAACTTAAGCAGCAAGAAAGTTACGGCAACTTGGTGCTTCTTGCAATCATTTGCCATTGCTTTCCGTTCCGAGTAACGTCGGATATGATTACAACGCAATTCTTGCGCCTAAGCTTGGTTTCCAATGTGCTCATTAGTGCCATCCAGTTTTGTTGTAGTCAGTTCTCTAGAGCTTTCCAAACCTAATTTTTCTGACCAGCATCAAGACGTTTTCCAGCATGGGCTGGCACACAGCAGACAAGAACTGTGATGTTGGTCAGCCGCTTGTCGATACGTCGTAATGCGAAACCGAAGAGTGAGAGCTTTAGTTTCTTTATTTCGTCATAGGGGATGTTGATACTGACCTTTGTTCGACGTATTCCACTTGTGCATTTTGCAGCATCCAAGAGCAACTCATCATAAGTCATCTCGTCAGTTAGTCCTTGATGTGTAAAAAATCTCTTACATGCGATACATCCTGAAAAATAATCCGTGAACACATAAAGAAATTATTTTTAGAATTCAACATTTAATAGATATTCAGTGAAATTTTAGAAAAAAACTGAAGAATTATTTATTATAAATTCTGAAGAGCAAGTTGCTCTGGAAGAATGAAATTGCTGCCATTGACCAATATTGTTCCAATTCTCATATAAACAGGAGACATCTTCGAGTGAACGAAAGTGAAAGGCAAAGATTGTGAATATTCATGGGAGAGCACATTCGAGAGCTGAAACGGACAGATGTAATATTCTGTGTAAGGAAGCAATAAAACAGTTACATAGTATTAAAGATAAACTGGATAAGAGACATCATTTTCAAGGAAAAATATGTCCAGGTCAGCGAACGAATCCGGCTGACGGTCCTGTACAAATCAGAACGGGAAACATCTAAATATAAAGCATTTCGTGAAGAAAATGAAGAGAACTCCGTACAATGGATAGCAAAATAAATAGTTTAATAGACAGTGTCTCAGGACATCTGGCTATCAAGGGGAAGAAGGACTTTATGGCAAAACCGAACACTTCTAATAGCAGCTCATAACCAAGAACTGAGTGTGAATTCGTACAAAGTCAAAATCCTAAAAACGCAGCTAGAAGCTACGTACAGAATGTGTCAAGACCATATTGGAACCCGTATAATTTGCGGCAGCAAATCGGTTGGTGAATACACGCAACGATGATGTAAGGATAGTTCGCTAGCAATAAAGTGGTGGAAACATCAGCCAAGAGCGGCGAAAAAGACAAAGCAAGTGAAAATACTCTGGGACTTCCCAACACAAAGTGGAAAACAAATAGAAACATCGGCTCATCGCCCGGATATCGTACGGTTAAAGCCAAAAGGCTGCTACAAACTACTGATATAGCATGCATATATGACAGTTAATCGAAATACTTCAATAACTGGATATACAAGTTGGTGAATATCAAGAATCAAGAATGGAAATAAAAAATAATTGGAGAAAAAACACCGAAATTCGTCCGATGGTGATCAGTGCCTTCGAGCAGTGAAGAAAGACAATCAGCATGCAGTATGGGAGCAATCAAGATGGAAATGTTGCAAAAGACAACGCTACTAGAAAGCATCATCGTTGTCCTCGTCATCATCATAATGTCGCCATACAAGAATGTCCAGTAACGTCTCCTTAATGTTCCTGAACGTAAGATTCACCCCAACACTGAATTTTCTCGTTTACACTGTTCAAGGATTGTCACGAGTCATTAACGCAAATCTGCTATAGTGTCATTCTCCACTGCGCGATGCAACAGTGGTGATTACGGCCATTCAGCAAGTAACAATCTGCTTCACTAACTATGAAGGTTCCATACGATCGCAAATTGTACCTCAACGAATGATCCACATCGCCTTACAACCATTTCCATGAACAAATGCTCCTGACGTGTGCAGCTGCACAAATGGAACGAAGATGTTTGAATGTTTGGAGTTCAGGCAGCATGGCGCGCTACTTTTACAAACTCATTGGTCTTGTCTCCTATGTTTTTCTTGTGGAAAACTAAACCAACCACGTGCTCTATACTGGGCACACTCATATGAAGACTGTCTTTTAAGAACTTGTTGCCATGCATCTGCTCATGCTGCACAGCACTACATCCCCGTATAGAGAATGCGATATGGGGCCGCTTTCTACACATCATTATTTAATGCCCATGACATCATCAAGAACAGAAATGAGTTCAGTACAGACCCCTACTGCAAGCCACTCAGACGGTTAACTGTTTTCACGATAGTATCTTCCATTCACATTGTGTTGTACGCGCTTTCAACTTATGCTTATCCTTTCTCTGAGTTTCTACGGCCTAAAAATGAGCGAAACATGGTTAACTTATAAAGGCCAAAAAACGAACTGTTAGCGTGATAAATGGACACAAGAATCGGTTCATCACTGTATTAACCATCATTATATGCTGTGATATTTCAGCCTTTCGGTGGTGACAGCATTTTTCTAATTCTGCCACAAAGACATATTGCCAGGCACAGTTATACATAGAAAATAGAGTAGCTGTAAAACAGAAAAATCCAAGAAATACTTTTTTCCATAACAAACATACTTTGAAGTAAACCTTCCAGTTCCTTCACTGTTTCAGCACCTGGCAGAGCTAGTTGGTGCAGAACATAGATATTCTTGAAACCGTGATCGTTTCGGTCTTTGGCCTTAAAAGTTTGTGAATGAGACAAAATTCGACAACTGCACATCCGTACCGTATTGAAAAGGATGACACTTAGATAGTCCTCCTGACAGGTAGAGCATTTGTTGCTATACGTATTCAAAACGACCTGTATACGATAAATCAATGAAGCAAACTAGCGGCTTTTTTGAATATCACCTTCCTACCTTTACGCTCAGTTCGAAATGAGACAACCCATTTTCCGTTTTTACCCGTAGCATCGAATCA